CCTTCTCCTGCTTTAGGACGAGGCCGCGGTGCCTCATTGCGCTTACCCCGCAGCCCATTTGACGTGGTGATTGGGCAACTGCCGTGGAAAGTGTTACTGAGTTCATTTCCCACACGGTACAAATATTTGGGTGATCCACAAATTGTTGTTCCGAGTTTGGGCGTGATGTGTACATGTGAAATTGTATGTTTCCGAAAAATTGTCTTATTTAAAAGAAGAAAGAACAGAGAAAGAAGTTTAATTGCCAGAAGGAGGTATTTAAAACGAAATAACTACTAACTGTATATTTGGCCTAGAATTCTGCAATTTTCAAAGTTCGGTTTCTTGGTTTGCGATCCCTAATTCTAAAAGCAACTGAGTGTAAGCGAAATAATGTATCGCGTTCCCCGCTCGGTTCGAAAAGGAACGGAGTAGTTCTTTATCAGTAATACTCGTGATACTCTCTTCTCAGGGAACAGAAGTCAAGTCCCCTCAAAAAAAAAAAGGACGGTTGAAACACGAGCATATAACCACACAGCCTACAATTTTCTGGAACTAAATATCTACACAAGCTGTTACTTAATCAGTTTCAGCATGTAATAAGCCGTGAAACATTGATTTTCGTATAAAAATAGAACAATAGTCAATAACGAATTACGTGAAATACCTATATTATTGTTATTTATACCACTGATAAACATACTACCTATGTATTGTATTGCAAACTGTGAAATATGACCTATTTAGGGGCGTTTATACCTACATTTATAATTAAATGGTTGATAAATGGAGTAGCCGACTTTATCATTTGACCTTGAGGAGTGCAGGTGGCTTGCATGTAGTTGTAGATAATGTAGAACACTGGCCGAGAGGTTGGTAGCATCACGTAGGATATACTACTCTGTCAAGAAAGTACCGGGAAAAAGTCAATAATACACAAAATGTTTGTTATTCATCTAAATTTATTTTATCACCTTCAAAGTATGCTCCTTCAGAAACGATACACTTACGCCAACGAATAATCCAATCATCGAAACTTTTTTTAAACGCTGTTTCCGGAATTGAGTTCAGTGCTCGCCGCGAATTCTCCTTTATGTCTTCTAACGATTGAAAAAGGGTGCCACGAAGGGGTAATTTGAGTGTGGGAAAAACAAAGAAGTCGGCTGGAGCCATATCTGGTGAATATGGTGGCTGCTCGATGGTGATTGTTGAGTGTTTGGACAAAAAATCGTTTACAATGATGGCCTTGTGCGAAGGCGCATTATCGTGATGCAAAATCCAAGAATTTGCTTTCCACATTTCTGGCCTTTTTCGTCGAATTTGTTCTCTTAAACGCCGCATAAAGCTCATAAAATATTCTTTATTTACCGTTTGACCTTCGGTCAAGAATTCTGAGTGAACAACACCGCGATAGTCAAAGAAAACAGTCAAAATGACTTTGACTTTTGATCGACTTTGACGTGGTTTTTTCGGTTTTGGTTCAGTTGGAAGGCGCCATTCCGAAGCTTGTTCACTAGTTTGCATGTCAAACTCGTAAATCCACGACTCGTCACCAGTAACAATGCGTTTCATGAATGTTGGGTCGGTATTGACTCGTTCTAGCATGTCCTCAGCGACTTTCATGCGATTTAGTTTTTGAAGAAAATTCAGGTCTTTTGGGACTAGCCGAGCGGCAACACGTTTCATACCCAAATTATTTGTTAAAATGGTACGGATCGACTCGTGAGATACAGAAAGTTCGGCGGCCATCTCTCTCAAACTTGAATGAGGATTTTCAGTCACTATTTCCTTCACTTTTGCGATGTTAACTTCAGTTGCAGACGTTGATGGCCTCCCAGAACGAGGCAAATCTTCCATCACATCTCGACCGCTTTTGAACGCTTTGTACCACTCATAAGCACGTGTTTTTGATAGAAGTCGATTCACCGTAAGCCTTCTGTAACATTTTGAGTGCCTCCGAACACGAAATTTCATTGGCGATGCAAAATTTAAGACAAACTCTTTGTTTGATGTTTTTGTCCATTATGAAATTCGCAATACACACTAGATATTATAAAACTAAAACCAGCACTGTTTTTTAATATAAATAACAGATGCAACTCAAATTCCGCGCCAAAATGGAAAACAGTTATGCCAATATAACAACAACAAAAAAAAAAAATTCGAATTTGGAACCATAAAAAAAACATTCATTCCCGATACTTTGTTGACTGAATGTACCTTTGAGTTTTTATCAGTTCAGTTTTTTATTTATGGAATAAGTCGGTAAATGAGTATACGGATGACCTGATGGCAACGCTGCTCATAGATAGCTATAATACCAAAGAAATTGAATGGTATGGAAGTACATTGCCAGCTTTAGGATTAGGATTTTGGAGATTTAGGGATTAGGAACAGATGGGGAGGGGAGGAATGGCGGTTAACTCACAGATTACCAGTATGAAGCAACAGTTACGTTTGGTTTTGCCATTTGAGTGAGGTTAATGTCCAGTCTTCTTATGCTTTAACGCAAGCTATCTTGATGTACCTATCCACCTTATGAGTATTATTTTAAGTAATAGGAGGCAAATGAGCAGGCGTGTTACCCGATGGTAAGCCACCCTTGGACACCAACAACACCCGAGGACTCAGAGGCGTGTTGTTGGCCTTCGAAGAAGGAGTGCGTTCGTTTCTTGAAGGTTTGACGTTCGTATTGGTTCGAGAATATCTACCGCCGCCGAAAGATCATTCCAAAGTTTTTCTGTGCGGGACAGATGTCCGCAGGCATTACTGGAATGTAGGATATGAAAAATTTAATTATGGGCTACTTATTACTGCTACTAGTACTAGCATAGACAGGCTAAACATACGCTTGACATCAGCCCTATAGGGCCCCATCTGTCTATTGGCTCTTTGAAGAGCGCGGAACGCTACGCGCCATACGCTCGGGTCTGCTTCTGATCGGGCGGCGAGCTATCCTTACTCGCCGTCCGCAGACCCGCGGTTACGGTGGCCGGAGATCATCTCTCGGTCCCCGACGCCCGGAGTGTCGCCTAATGCGGTAAGGGCGTGAGGAGGACGATAGTTCCCTCACGCGCTCTGCCTCCTCCTTTTGCGAGCGCTACTTACTATATTACTATGTATTACTATTACAACGACTAGTATTTAATGTGTGAATAATTATAGTATACTATCTACATATTAAAATGTATCACAATTAACGTCATTTAAAGCTGTTATTTAATAGGTACGTACTTCAGGCAAAACGTTATCGCACCGGCCTGAAGTCGCGTGTTTAAACAAAGAACGATGTATAATGTAAACTTTATTTTGTTCCGGTTCTCGGAAACGGCTGTGACGATACCGATGGTTTTATTTCTAGGTATGTTACAAAAGGGGTTTCGATGATAAATTGTAAATCTAGCTAAGTTTCAATTCCAGAAAATATTTATTTATAAAAAAAATCTGTGTAAATAATAATTAGATACCAATGTGGGAGAACCATGTGTCGGCACGAATTGGATAGCTCCACCAGAGTGATACCACGGCCTCACAGAACACCGGCGTGAATCAACACTTAGGTAGATTGTGTTTGGACGTGTGAGTGAGGTTACCGGAGGCTAATCCTCTCTCTCAATACCTTAATCCCCAAATCCTCTTACCCCTTTATAAACCACAAAAGACTGGCAACGCTTGACGAGTGTTCATTGGTGGCCCTAATTGCTTACCCTCAGGTGAGCCGTAAGCTCCTTTACCAATCTCTACCATCTAGATATTACCTCAACGTTAGAAAATTGTTCTCATTCTTCATCACAGGAGCGGTGGTAGACGGTTTATCTGATGTTAAGCAATCAACGTCGCACCTGGATCGGTCACCCCAACGCCAGAGAAATTACAAGTGCATTGCTGAGGAATATTTAACTTAAGGCAGGGGAACAACTGGTAAAGTAACTCTTATAATTATATTTATCTTAAGTATTCGTGTACGTATTTGTCTATTACATTAATAATCTACTTATAGATAAATTGAAATAAGTTTATATTCTTCTCCTCCCCTAATTCCTCTGTAATCCTAAAATGTCCAAATCCCTAATCCTCAAACGGTCGGCAACGCATTCGTAACTCCTCCGTGGTTGCGGGTGTCCATGGGCGGCGCTGATTGCTTTCCATCAGGTAGATGTGTTTAAGTAAGTAATGATATTGGCTACTCTTACATCAACCGGATTTGAATGAAATTCGGTACAGAGATAGATTACACACAGATGCTAATTTTTACCCGAAGTCGCTAACTGAAGATTTGTAGTTTGAACGTTACGCAAAATTATGTCACTGATAGATAGCTACAATGTTCCTGACTTTAGGCTATAATGGAGCCGAGCAGCAGATGAAACTGCGCGAGAGTAGCTAGTATATTATATACACGAACTATATTAAACTCCAAGCATATGAAATAAAAAAAAAAACATTTTAATAAAACAATTTCTCTTTACATTTGTAACGACATTAATATTTCATTTGTTCTTGTTTATATTCCGATAAAAAAAACAATAAAGGGTGTTATGTAGTTACATACATTTATATACCTACACATATATTACAATAAGGCATAAATAAATACATAATATATATGATAACTTTCCTGTTACAAGAAGGAAACTTAATGTTAATACCAGTACTATTATAATTAAAAACATAAAAATGGCTATCAGTTGAAACATGACTTGTAAATAAATGTAAGCGAAATGAGGATATTTGAAATTAACGTTATATGTAGCTACTATATTCCCATCATCATAATCAGCCTGCATCCATCCGCAGCTTTTCTCATCCAACCACTGCCAGACCCCTTACAGTGACAAGCATGTATCTTAATATACTCTATAACAAACACAGGAAGTATTTTAATGTAATGAAAAATTATCGTCAAATTCTTTAGATAGTTCTCTGCCGTGATTATTAAAATTATCAAAATAATTTCTATACCTATAAATTCTGATGCATCTTTGATAAGATTCTAAACTATAATAGCCCTTATATCATTTTTAATACGACTTACAATCGAAATTGTTAACAAAATCATTCCATTTTGTATTAAAATCATGGATCGCCCGCACCTTACGTTCAGGTGTTAGAGCACTGTATTTCAAAGAATTCAAAGCTAAACCTTTTAGCATCCTCAAATCTGAAAGCCTACTAGCCACACCCACAAACGCCACGTAAAAGTCATCAGACAATGGATCAGCTTCCCAAGCACCAGGATCATCACTAGACAACACAACAGGAAGATTCAAACTCAAGAAAATATTTAAAGGATGATTACGAACATCTTTCACTAATGATAACACAGCGTTTGATAAAACATTCACTTCTATACCAATATCTTTTTCTATTACTTCCCTTATCAAAGCTGGATGCTTTGCAAGTGCATACGCATGCCCGATTCTCTTAGCACCCAACAATACTGCGTCAACTAAATTCTCATCTGTCAATGTCCCGTACCAATTCGTTTCACCAGCGTGGAAGAAGAAATCCAAGTCTTTAGCTTGGAGTAACTGTGGTACAAATTCTATAAGTGGATTCCCTAAATCCTCTTGTCCAACCAAATCGAAGCCGGCGTATAAATCAGGCATGTCTTTCTTAATCTGTCTCGCTGTTTGTATATCAGAATCTAGCACTGTTGTATCCACCTTTCTCGACGGAGCAAATATTAGTTTAGCTCCAAGAAAATCTGGATAATCTCTGACGAATTTGTTTATCGCTTTCTTGTAAGCTTTCGCCGTTATTCTTTTGTCATAAATAGTACCATCAAGCTCATACAAGTTGGGTAATATGCTTCTTACTTCAACGTACATAACATTGTCGTCTCTAAACAGTTTTAGAGCATCATAAAAATATTTCTCCCAATTTGGCCTAAACGATATTAGGCCATAAACAGTGGTGAAGTATCCCATGAAAGTGGTCCATGTTTCTTTGATGGAAGGGTACACTACGTCAGGATTGTCACAGACCATGGAGAAATGTTTTCTCAAATCGGCGTCGAACTGTGTCACATTAGCTGCTGCTTTCCTTACATTCTTCATCAGCTTCCAATCCCCGTCACATGTAGAGTTAGGAACGTTATAGGAGAACCAAAATCTGATAGGTTTTTCGAAGCACACGTAGAGATGGTCCATGTACGTGAGGTTCAGGAAATAGTCTGGACCGATTATGGCCATGTCGTGAACATGAAGCACAGCTCCTTTAGGCATATTCTTAATAATCTTATAAACTTTAGACGTCTGGATTTGCTTTTTATAATTGAAGAAATGATGAGAAAGGTTGTAATGTTCAGGATTGTCAAATCCGTAATCGAGTTCATTAAACTTGTGTTGCATCAGGCAGTTGTTTACAATGTTCTCCTTATCATTTAGTGTAGTGTTACCGCCGAGGGCCATCCTTAGTTCAAGTTCAACAAGTTGCTTCCGTTTCTCGTTGTATTTGTCGTCACATTTTGCGTAGATGAACAGTATGGATATTATGGCTAGGATTGAGCGCATGTTTGTAACGCGTTCGCCTCGACCCGGCGTCGGATTGCTACTGCGCCGGGCCGTCGACCTATGAAGTGATAAATCACAGTTTATGGTAACAATGGCATTGTAATAAACGATATTTATTCGTTTATTGTGTTGTGGGAAACTTGAGTGTTATTGGACGTATTAGATTGATAAAACGGAACGTGGATGGTTAATATGTTTACCGTGAAATGAGGGTAAATAAAATCAAATAATGAAATTCGATCTTTGACACTATGCATTCGAATTAAACGGATAATTTAGTTCTGAGATATTTTTATTAGGGATTATTTAACAGACAAGTACATACCTGTACTTGTCTGTCAGATAGATCACTCTTCAATCAATGTATTTGAGATTATCTCAAAGACATCTCAAGACAACAACAAAGTAACATATCGTCGTATCATCGTTTTCAATTCAACGGATGTCGGCACAAATTCTACATTGCGATGTAAAGTTTGCGCGCGATTATATGCGGATAGAAGAATCACAACGTACAACTGTTTGGTAATAGCTTATCAGTTATTATCACCTTGTTTGGTCAAAGAAACAAGGATCTTTACTCTCTTAACAGTGATACAATAATTGTAAAGAACATTAATCACAAGCATTTGCATAGATTATATCAAAACGTGAATTTTTGAATCGTTTATAAATTAAAAAAATGATTTTCAATCACATATGTAGATAAAGATATATCAATCTGTCAAATATTAGCATAAAAATACAACCTCAAAATGCCCGCCAATAATTAAGTTTTATCTAATATGAGAAAGTGAAAAAAGTCTGTTTTATACGATAGAATTCTGATAAACTTTGCTTTTTTAATTTCATAAAAACACAGTTTTGATCCATGTCTCCTATTTTACTTACTTACTAGGTACTTAAATCTGGCATTCTCCTTTGCAATCCTGCTTCCATATTCAAATCTTTGTCAAAAACTTTTTAATTCGCAAAAAGCACTGGCTAAGTAAAAAGATTGCGCGTCTAAAGATCTAACGATACACCGCAATCAGGAGATTAAAGGGATAGGTGACGCGAACTGCGTCTCGTGTGGCAGCCATTTTTTTTTTCAACCATAGGGCGGTACTCTCAAGTGCCACTTAATCCGTCCAACCCTTTACGGAGAAATCAGTGCGGGAGCAATGGCGGTCTTTGCCGCTTTTTTTCCCCTCCACTTTGAAAGCGAACCCCCTTTTTTGCATACCAATGTTTGTAATACACACCACTGTTCTAAAACTTTTTTCTTTTGCTAATAAACTCGGGTAGGTACGTTTTTAAATAATTGCCGATGTAAAGGGTTTTGTGAGAAACTTTGCTTGAGACGAAACCGGTGTTTGCTCTTTTTAGTTCGTGTGTTTTATTTTGACGGGGTTTTGGCTTGTGTGGTGAGAAATTTGGCTTCTATAAAGCGTGTAGAGGTACTTACCTTGTCCGATAATACATTTATATTGAAACCTTTTATAAAAGAAACTTTTCATCATGTTGGTATAGGTGTATACCGTATTCCGGACTAAAAACTTTAAAGCCATTTTGTAGATTAAGAGTAAAAACGATAAGGCAAAATTGTATAGTTGTGTGTAGGTTCCTATATATACTAATTTATACATAGGTATTCACATACACCCCTACGTACATTCGTTCATAAAGATATGCATTACAAGTTTTTTTTTTATGGAATAGGAGGCAAACGAGCAGACGCATCACCTGATGGTAAGCGATCGGCGCAGCCCATTGACTCTGCAGCACCAGAGGAGTCACAGGTGCGTTGCCGGCCTTTTAAAAAGGAGTACGCTCGTTTCTTGAAGGTTTGAAGGTCGTATCGGTTCGGGAATACCGCCGCCGAAAGATCATTCCAAAGCTTTGCTGTGCTGTGCGAGAATCGCACAGTTAAAGAAAAACTAAAAAAAAACAATTCACCTCATGTCAACTGCAAGTTCTGGTATCCAAGTTTTATTGATAGGTCTTTGATAGTAAAGATATGTATAAGCAAAATGTATCCTAACTAATAAGTATTATAAATGCGAAAGTAACTCTGTCTGTCTGTCTGTCTGTCTGTCTGTCTGTCTGTCTGTCTGTCTTTTCTTCACGCCTAAACTTCTGAACCGATTTTTGTGAAATTTGGTATAGACATAGTTTGGAACTCGAGAAAGGACAAAGGATAGTTTTTATTCCAAAAATCTGCAGGAAGTAACTTTTCCACGTGAACAAAGTCGCGGGCAAAAGCTAGTATAAAATAAATACTTATAGAATATAATAACATGTAAGAATAGGTATACCTATGATGGGATATACTCCAAGTTTTGTAGCTGCTAGCGACTAGCCTGCTGGCTTCGCACGGGTGTAACGCTATACTAAATTGCCCCACTATTTAAGAGAAGTTATTATACCTACATATAAATCTTCCTTTACAATCACTGTGTCTAATAACTCACTCACATGGTGAAACAGCGTTGTGTTTCGGCGTGTGAGTAAGGTTACTGGAGGCCCAATCCCTCCCCTTCCCCTATCCCTTCCCGATCCTTATATCCGCAACCCCTATCCCCAAAAGGCCGACAACGTACTCGTAACTCCTTTGGTGTGTCGGGTGTGCATGGGCGGCGCCGATTGCTTACCATCAGGTAATCCGTCTCGTTTGCCGACTTATACTTACCATAAAAAAAAACACAACGCTGATCATCTGAATCCAAAAATCATATCTGTATTCCACGCCCAATTTCCCCTAACAACTGTCGATGATCAAACAAAACGATAATTTAATCTTTTCGGTTCCAATTAATAAATATTACCTACTTATAATTTATTTTGGTACCGTTGCTACGTCATAATTATCTTAGTTGTAAAGTTTTATCGATAAATAATCTACATACATATGTACAGGTAATAAAAAAATGTTATTTTCATTTATCGATTATCGATACTTACCAAGACCTTTTGTGTTCTTATCGATTACTAGTTAAGTAGCTACTCTCACTCGGTTTCACCCGCTGCTCGGCTCCATTTAATCGTAGCGTGATGTTTTATGGCCTTTAGCACTCAGGAATATTGTAGCTATCTATCATTGAAAGAATTTTGGCAATCTGACCAGCGGTTCCAAAGATTACGCCCTACACACAAACATACAGACATACAAACTTACAAATTTTACCTCTTTATGATATTAGTATAGATTTTGTAATTTACTAACACAAGCAATGCGTCCCCATTTGGCTTGGGTGCTGTATCTGACTTTTAAGACGTATTTAAAAAAAAAACTTGAAATGTTTCTTTTACAACAAAAATGTGGATTAATTCAAATTCAAAATCTGGTCGTGGTGGCCCGGAGGTTAAGCCAAGGAACCCGCTTCTCATGCATGTACCAGGCAAGTACCAATGTGACTTTTCCGAGTTATAGGTATGTACTTTCTATAATTATTTAGACATCACTGACATACGGTGAAGGTAAACATCGTGAGGAAACCTGGACTTACAATTTCTAATTATAAGTTTGAAATCACCAACCTGCATTGAGCAAGCGTGGTGATTAATGCTCTAACCTTCTCCGTATGAGAAGAGGTCTTTGCTCAGCAGTGGGCACCTTATAGGCTGATGATGATGATGACGATGAAGGTCTTAGGTTAATTAACTAAGAAAAACCTCTACTACAGTTGTTTCGAAGTCGTCACGACGTACTCATGTATAAGGGTCCCGCTGTGACTTGAAAGTGTTACAGCTTTTTATTTCACATGAGTATGAAATCAATTTCAATTCGAATTTCGAAATCTATACTAATATTATAAAGAGGTAAAATTTGTAAGTTTGTATGTAGTGGGTAATCTTTGGAACCGCTGGTCGGATTGCCAAAATTCTTTCCCTGATAGATACTGCAGCTACAATGTTCCTGGGTGCTATAAAACATCACTCTACGATTAAATGGAACTGAGCAGCGGGTGAAACCGCGTGAGAGTAACTAGTTTCTAATAAACTAAGAATTTCTCTTGAAAAGTAGTTAGGTACCTGATTTATACAAAACTAGCAACCCGCCCCGGCTTCACACGTGTACAATTCTGATCCTAAATTATTCCACTATTTAATGAATGTTATCATAACCCTATCTATAGACAAACACATCAAAATCCGTTGCGTAGTTTTAAAGATTTAAGCATACATAGATCTAGGGACAGAGAAAGCGACTTTGTTTTTAACCGACTTCCAAAAAGGAGGATGGTTCTTAATTCGACCGTATATGTATAGATATGCTTTTTTATGTTTGTTTTATATTACGTCGTGTTGAAATTAGCGAAATCTTTTGTTTATTTAGTTGCGCTTACCTCATTACTGATTACATAATAATTATATTCATTATGAATACCTATTCATCGGTTAACGATGGAGTTGAATGTGTGCGCACGTTCATAGTAGTACCTAGGTAAGTTTTTTTATGTAATAAATAGGATCAATACCTAATTGGCGTCATGGATATATTTTCTATATCAAGCGAGCTACTAAGAAATTTAATTATATGTATAAGCTTTTGCCTGCGACTTTGTTCGCAAGGAATAGTGACTTCCTGCAGATTTTTGGTTTAAAAACTATCCTATGTCCTTTCTCGAGTTCCAAACTATGTTTGTACCAAATTTCACACAAATAGGTTCAGCAGTTTAGGTGTGAAGAAAAGACAGATAGACAGACAGTTATTTTCACATTTATAATATTAGTTTGGATTTAAGGATTAGGGATGGGCATTGTGGGGGGGGGGGGGTTAATCTGACTTCACTTATGAAACAACAAAACAAATCTTCAATTAAAAGTTGTATGCGCTAATCCTGCAACTACAACATTTTTTATTATGTAGACTGGATGACCGTTGACCGTATAATATTATGATAGGTACAATGGAGTTGATTTGATGATGGAATTTGATCCTTATTGCTAAAAACTTGGGCTGCTTTTTAGTAAACTGCCGAAACGATGTCGAAAATACTTTCGAAACTTGGCTTTGGTTTGTTAGCATGAGGATGAGGGTACTCCTGGGGACGGATGTATTTTATT